TGAAAATGTAGCTGTATAATAACAATTTTACAGTTATCTCAGAATGAATGCACCAGCCACCTCATAAGTATTTTCTGGCCACTTGGCTATTACAAAGAATAGTAGGACAATAATTTGATTTAATGAAAGCTTTTTTAACAGTTCCCTTATTTATAATAGATGTAGCTTATGCTGTTGTGCATCTTCAGTATGTACCACGGAAGCCACATCAATTCTGAAGTATTAAATCACAGGAGTTGCAGGGACCGAAAAATATTCTTCCAGCAGATGCAATGCTGTATAACGTGCTTGGTGTACTGTTAATATTTCTGGTCTCCTCTAAATCACAGTGTTGTCAGGGAACACAAGCCCAGGGAATTAGTGTATAATATTTTGTATGCTGTTGTAGCAGCATAAAATGAAATTATGATATTAAATACACTAGAATCAATAAATTTTTCTTTTACTATTTACTTCAGATCCATTATGCCACATAAGAATGTTGCAACATAGTTTCTACATTCAATCAGTAATTAACTAGTAATAAGAATACAATAAACACCTGTAACAAATATATCTACATGAAAACTGTTATTTTTCCTAAAGATTATGTTGTATTAAAATTCGGTATGAACTTTCCAAATCTACCCTGGCTCTATACCAACTTGCAATATTAACTGCTCTAGCAGCAACTGTTTCACATTTAAACATCTAACACCAAAATCAGCTACAAAAATAGATGCTAAGTTTTAAGAATTAATGCTTCCCAATTTTTTAAAAAGATGTAAGGAAAAGAGTAAATTACTGTTTATTATTTCATATAATCATCAATTCCTTATTTATATAGCAGTAAGTAGTGTTTAATCAAAAAATCAAGGACAAAAACATTTGACAGCCTTACAGACACACTTTAAACTATACTTAATAGAGACGCACAATTCTGCAGAAACAAAAATAACTGCAAACAGCAAACTTAACTGGAAGCAGTTACTGATCCAATGAAACAAGATTCAAACTGTAATGGCATATCACACTTGATATTAGCAATTTTCCTACAGTCTCCATTTTGTATCCTTAACACATTATTTATGAAACTATTCCAGAAGCCTTGTGACTTCTTTAGCCAAACAATGCCTTTTCCTTTTGGAACAAATTTTGTTTCGATGTGTTTTTCTGCAGCAGCAACATCAACATGCCACATTCTAATTACCTTGTTACTAAGCATCACCGATTAGCACAGCATTGTAAACTCAGACTTGTATACACTCTAAGAGTGTTATTTTGGATTGAACATTGTACAATGCTTACATCATTTTTTTTCCTCAATATCACAGACCCAAAAGATTTCACAAGGCTGTCCATTTTATTATAGAAGAACAACATAATAAGTTTTTATCTTATATTTTGCTCCAATGACCCCTGCATGCCCTATGACTCCAACATGCCCTAATACCCCAATTCTGTAAAGGAACGTGCTCTGTGCATGCCCTGTACATATTCCGTGGGAGTTTTAAACAAAGCTTTCTAATCCAGAGACTACTGTAATCAATTTGTCCACAGAGTCCCAAAAACTGAAGTATGCCTCATTAAAGAGGCACTGGACTAGTTCAGCTTGCTGACTTCATCCCCTCTCAGCCTATTTTCTCTTACCATACATGAAAAAATCATAAGAATGAAGGACTGGGAAAAAAAAGTAAAACACTATCAACCAAATGAGTAACACCAACCAGACTGCCTGACACCTGGAGTTTCCATGCCCAAGAAAAACCAACCAGACTGCATTTGTGATTGCCATGGTAATCACTGGCCCAGAAAGGAGCAGCTACGCATGACTAAATGGGGTAAGGGCTAGAATAAACAAGATAAATCAGTCACTTCTGATATGGACGGCATGCACTGGTGCCCACAACAAGGCAGTGCATTCCAGCCTAAGGTGCAGTGGCAGCCAAGACTCAGTGGTGCACTCTCTGCAACGCAACTGTCCCACTGCTTCCTTTGGTGCACAAGCAGAAGCAGCTCTAGCAGAGGGTTCCCTAGAGCATCTTCTGAGCTAGAATCTCAGACACTTTGATCTTTCTCCAGGTCTGGAAAGCACAAAGTCTTCCATAATGAAGCTCCTGCATCCTTCAGAAAGTAGTTCCCTTTTCCTGACTGAAAAACTATCCAAAAAATCCCACCAGCTGCCTCACCCATTGTGTTAACACAAATAAAACCTGTAACCAACCAGTATCATTATTCAATCCTTAATACTTACTATTCTTTCCAACGGTTCTCTTATAAGGCTTTCAGTAAAAAGTGAAAACATCTGTAACCCTGCTTTAGGGTGTCAACACATTAATTCAAAGTGATTGTTCACACAACTGGTGGAAAGTATAACTCAGAGAAATTCAAGTTTACCTGAGAATATTTTCTGACTGCAGAAAATCATAACATCACTTTCCACTGAACAAACTTTGCCAGTCTTTACCCTTTTCAGTTAATATCCTCTACCATGTATGTTTAGCCCAGAATTCTACATCACTTTTAAAAACTCAGCTAGAAAACAGGGAAGCAATTCTCTTCACAAGGTGAAAAACCACTTGTACCTCTTTCACTAGCAGCTCTAGTAAACTCACCCTCTCACTAGAAAATGGCTTTGCTATTCCAAAACAAACTGGAAAAAAGTTACTAAATTTTAAAATCACTAAACTTGCAAAATAGAGACACTTCTCAGTCGTTACTTCGTGTGACTTTCATTCTTCTCCCGTGCACCGGCTTGTACAGGTGCTGCATGAATTTGCAGGTAATTCAGCATGCACAACTCCAGGGGTAAAGGTAAAGCTATATGTCCTAAGGAGTAGTTGTCCCCATCAGCTACAGAGAGGCAAGGCCAGTCACTGCCTTGGAGAGTTGGTTTGCCAGAGGAACAGACTCTCTTGAGAACAGCATTTTACACAAGTGGACCTGGACTGGTTATTTTAACACAATTTTTGCAAGAGCTGGTGACCAAAGACTTTAATTTTTTTTTTTGTTTAACAAAATGTTTTTCAGCTTATTTTCAATATGACCTCCCACTGTTCTGGTAAACATTGTTTCTTCCCTTGTTTCCAGTAATTCTTGAAATCCTGAAGAATTGAACCTGTTTGTATATTAACAAAAGTAGTATTTCGTAATAGCACATAATTTGAATAAGCACTCCTTACTGAATAAAGAATAACCTGGAATAATGAAGCATTACAATTTTAGGACTTCCTTAACTTTTCACTTCACAAACCAGTCTGACAACTTAAGAGCTCAGAAACAGTATGAAAACACCAGAACTTAAAAAAAAATTCCAGCAGCTCAGCCGACCTGCAGCTGATACACAACCTGTAGTAGCTCATCAACTACATAAGTATTTGTAAACAGGAACATGGCCTGGGATTCAACAGGAGAGAAGCAATTCTGCAACTTCTGGGAGAAAAACCTGCAATATTTTTATGGATGTCAGTGTTTGTCAAAACAGATTTACACTAAGATTTTAGGGGAAGTGAAATTAGGTACGGATTGTAGTAAGAAAAACATTAAATGGAAGCCTGAAAGACAAGGTCAAAGAAAACCACAGGACATAAGTGTCTTAAAAATAGTTTATGTTTGCTGTCTACCTAAAGAAACATTAATTCAGCTAATCAAAACCACATCAAAACATCACAGCTGCTGACAGCCAAAACACTCTTTTATTTCAATGGGAAAGTCTGGTGCTTCAGGAATGGGGAATGACCAGACTTGTAACAGGAAGACAGAATAAGACAGGATAAAAATAACATACTAATATCAGTGCACTCTATTAAATTTTCCATTTTACACACTATATATCCCCATGTTTAGTAGTTACCTGGGGATAAACCAAGCAACAAAATTAAAGTTACATGTAAAAGACAGAGAACTGGATGAAATGAATAGCTGAATATGCATTTACATTTTTAAGTGAATATGAATATCGGTAAAAGAAAAAAAAAAGGTGCTGAACAGTGATTAAAATAACTTCTCTTATTCCCTGCTGTTCTGTCATTACATTCACATATCAGCTACCACTCCTAACTTTAGACAAATTTGGAAAGAAACAGTCTTTCTCTCCACACTGATAGTTACTACAATTACACTACAACAGAACCAAGGACATTAACTGTTATTTAGGCAGTCATACAAAAACTTTAAGATGGATCTTGGAAATTGTTGCAGGATTCAAATTGTGTGAACAATTTCTATTGCATTTCTGTAGGCCTTGCTTGACATGACTTTAGAAGTTGTAAGCTGTAATGTTTATACTTATAGACTGTGTGAAAATATGTAATGTTTATACTTGTTGGTTGTGTCTAATTATAAGGTTTGAGAACATAGTATGTTTATAGCAAGAAAGCCTTGAGAAAGTACAGATAAAGGTACACCTGCAGATTTCAGAAAGCCCCTAATTATGAAGGCCTCTACATGCCAAGTATGATGTCAGGCCGCGTGGACAGAACATCAGGTCCAATGAACTGGAGACATGAGACGCGTGCACAGACTGAGCTATCCAATCACCCTGTTGTAAGCATGTGCCCAAAACAAACTAAACTGTATAAAAGTTGACTTAATTAAATAATAAATTGAACATATGGCTGACCACATTGGCCTGTATGCTTTATGTTCATGCCCCTCCATCGATAGGAAATATACTGCCATTTAATTAATTTTCACTAAAGAAAAAAAATCTTAAACGGACACATAATATTTCAATACATAATGGAACAAAGGCCCTCCTTTATCTAATTATTCAAGCACAATTCAACAGGAACCAAAGTCTATGCAGATTTGACACATCATTCCCTAAAAAAAAATCTCAGTGTGCAAATGACTTATTTTCCTCTTTTACATGAGGCTGGTAAAGGTTTGATCTGTTATACTGACAAAAACTGACTGTAATCAAATTACTCAAAATAATAAAACCACCCTGTTACATTGTACAAGCTTTAGCAGGTTCGAAAAAGGTACTAATAAATAGACAAAATTAACTCAAGTCATACCTTTAGCCACAGCTTCTTTATACTTTTCTTTGGCAGAATTTACTTCTTTTATTAGTTGTCTATAGCTAGATTTTAGTTTCTCTAGTTCTGTCTTTGTGACCTTTAAGAAAACAGAAATATAAAAAGCATTAAAAATACTTATTCTTAACTTATAAAATAACTCTTAACATTAGTGAAGGAGAATTAACAAGATTTATTATCCAAAATAAGGATGCTACTGTCGCTGTTAAAGTCGGAACAGCCAAGGCGACATAGATATCAGACGTAGTCCAGGTGTAAGGTAATCAGGAAGCTGTTTATTGTTCTCAAGTGTTTCTTTTATACTCCTTGCACACTACCATGCCACAACACAATTGGTCAAAGGTCCCCAGCACAAGACACTGTACAAACTTTTATTGGAGACACAGAAGACACTGTGCTCATTGTCATTGGTGACCTGAGGACACTGTGCACACTGTCATTGGTGATATTATGCACATTTTGATTGGTGATCCTTGGTCTGGGCTGCATTATGTTTGTTCCGTCCAGCATTACAGTAAATATTTCCTTAGAGTTGTTTACATTCCTCGTCACTAATTGCCAGGCTGCTGACAGGTTCTCTGTCAACCCCGACATGCTACCACTTTCCATTGGCTTGAGATAATCCTAATAGGATATTACCCGGTGCAATTACATGGTGCAAGTTACATGTTGAAAATTACATAGTGAAAAATCAAAATCAATAAATGCATGGAATTAAATAAGAGGCCTGAAACAGAGATCCCCATCCACATCAGAGTAATTAAAAATATGTTTAGGAAACCCAGCTAATCATAAACAGTACTCCAGTTCAATTACAAGAGAATAAAACATCAAAAAGATGCTTAACAAATCATAATACATTAAAAGGTCCTCTGCATAGGAAGGATACCCTTTAGTAACTAAAAAAAAAGAGAAAAATAGCAGAATTTTTAGATATTACACTTCATACAAAAGACTAAGGAACAGCAACTACTCATGAACCAATCTATCAATTGTAAAACTTAAATCCTTAAAAAGGAAAACCAAACGAAGGATACAAGTCCTATTACATTTCTGTAAAAGACATGGTATTTTACTGTCCTTAAGAATTTTCCCAAAAGGATTCCTCATTGTAGAGATGTCTAGGACAAGACAGGATCACACATACGAATGTCACCTAACCACTTTTTTTTGCCAGCATATCCTAAACATAGGAACTACACAGACACTGATGTTCACGAAGTTTGGATATTGTCCTGGGAAACAATAAGCATTTTACCTCTGTGCATAACAAAAGCAAAAATAGTGCCACAGAACATGTGAAGTATTTTGCATTTCAGGGAATCATTCTGTAAGTGCTCAAGGTACACAAAACCTTTGAATAAACAATTTCAGCTAACAATGGGAGAACATATCATATGTAACCAGAATGCTATTCAAATGTTTCTTGGGAAAATCAGGAAAGGAAAAATAAAACCAAACCCAAAAAAACTGAAACCAAAAAAACAACACAAGCTTATTAATCAGAATCCAAAACATTTTCATGGCTATGCAGCCTAGAATTAAATAAAGTCAATATGGTTTGTAAACAACCATTTAGTGAGTGCTCAATGTGCACTATACTGTTTGGAAAAGCCTTACTTAAAAGACAGTTTTTTTAGATACTTTATTAGAGTTTAGCCTATTAACAGAAAAAAACCTATTTTGCATAGTCTCTTTTAAAAGTACACCTGTTTCCAACAGTCTTACTCCATTCAGCCTCTCTTTCTTATATTTCTTTTTCTATTTCTGCAATTCTCCATAACTTCTATTATTTCTAATGTGTTCTACCAGTTTTTCCCTCCTCTTCCATCCTGACTGTTTTCAGATCCACCAATCCATAAGCAGCAGTGAGGGATTATTTGGCTTGGAAACTTTATCAGATAATGGCAGCCTACTGACGCGCATCAAAAGAGATGTAGTCCCTGCAGTGAGTACCTGGGGAAGATGTCAGAATTCTAGCATATTATGGAAGTAGTCTTATTAGAGAAAATATATTTAACTTAATATATGTTTAGTTTAAACACAGACTAAATTTCTTCTCATAAATGGCCCAAGAATCTTATACTCATCAGTCCATGTCAATTGGACTGCATTACTCACATGTTACATTTTAATTATGCCACTCCAAAGCCCAAATTCTCTGGGAAGAAAGAAGAAACAGTGCTTTTCCTTCTCTCTGTAGACCTTTCACACTATCAATCTGATTTTTGACATTTGCAGCTAAACTTCCCCCTGTGACTTCTGTCAGCTTTACTGACTAGATACAGTGCTTTCAACATAAGCAGGACAACTGACAAGCCATGGAAAAGGCCCTGAAGAGCTTCATCAGCAGCCTCAATGTTTGGCTTATACTTGATTTATAGTTTAGAATATGGACTAGAATCCTGTCACCACCCAAAACAGTCTGGATTGTAAAGAGCACTCATTAACCAAAGTTTACAGTGCCCTGGTTCCAGCAATGTCAAGAGTGGAATGGGAAAAAGAGGAGAGATGGAATAGAGAAGCATCACGCAGAATAATTTTCTACTGGAACAAGAGCATTTCCAGTGCTATCTGTCCACAGAAATTTATACAGAAGAAATCTCTGCCTTGTCAGTAGGCAGAAGAAAAAAACACATAGGGAAATTACTAAAATTTAAACCAAGTATTCTACATATCACACATTACTACTTTTACCATAGCACAAACAAAACCAAAAAACCTAAAAAAATCCACTCTCAATTTATCATTTTTTAAACATACATAAATCATTTTATAAAGCACAGCTGAATAAAATACCTTGTACATCTCTGCTTCAATTTGTTGGTGAACACCCACGAAACTCTTCTTAACTTGCTGCTTATCTTTGATCATCATTGTAAGCCTATGCAAAGGCCCAGAATTAAGATCCTCTGCATGTGTCTTCATTATTTTGCTCAGCTGTTCTGTTTGTTGTACCACGAGCAACCAAGACTATTAAAAAAAGTCAGAACAGAAAAGCACTTACTTATTTCAACTTACAATTAATCAAACAATTAACATGAACTGTGGGAAAAGACATATCACTTTTTAAAACAATTTGGAAAAAAAATCTCAAACTTATCCAAATGCATTTGAGATCCTCCCACAAAATCATGCCTCAAACTTACTCATAAAATCATAAAAAAGCAGAAGGGACAAAAATACAATACTTATATTCACCCTTCAGTCCTAGTACTTCTGAACACCAAAGAAAGCATTACAGTCTTTTTCTTTAAATACATTCCTGACACCCCTGACAACCATGTTCCCACGTTCTTTGTTCTCCTGTTTCCCAGCCACAGTTACTCTGCCCAAGCTGACTTCTCTGCCCTTGTTTAAATACCTCACAGTAATATGCATTTCAGTGGTTAGGGTTTAAGAGGATACCATCATGTCAGTTGCTTCTTGAAGCTGACAGCATCATCAGTCAGGCTGTCAGTGTCACATACAAGGTGCTAAACAGACACAACACTCATCTGTTACAGTGACTCAACATCTTTCTGTACCCCTACTTTAATAACTTCCTTGGACTCTCTGTCAGCCAGTTTTCAGGCCAGAGTAATGTGTTGTATGTGACTGAATACAGATACATATCTACAGGTAACACAAACATGAAATTAAACTTCAGTTCAAACAAAATATACTAGTTTTACTAGCATTTATCTTACCTCTTGCTGAAACAGAAATCAACCTTAGATCAAAACCTTAGAAAATTAATTTGTTTGGTAGCTTTGGGGTTTCCTTACATCCCATACATAAACATATATACATAATATTTCCATCTCCATATGACAATGCTGCAACGCAAACTGGATTCCGGAGAACTAAACAAAAGACAATTAACTCCCTTTTATATTGAACCATCTTTAACATTTTCTTTAGCCTGTAAATATCCCACAGACTGGCACAGAGCTCTCTAGACTGTGGTGGTGTAAAACATCACAGCCTAAAGCTTCCCAGCTATGGCTGAAAACCATTTAACCTCTCCATAACAGAACACTTTCCAAATGACAGAGGAGCCACACTGCAAAGCTGCAGAGGAAAAAAACATAATTAAACACCTGTCTGAGAGGACTGGGCCTTGTGGTTATAGAAGAGATCACAAAAGTGCTCTCAGAGGTGAAAATGTAGTCAGAGTCCTCCATTTTCTTTAAGGTTGATATATTACTGATGAGACAAGTACTGTTTTAATCCACCCTCAAAAATCACAGCAAAAGCATTTTTTAACAGTACTCAGCTTACAATTCACCAAATGAGCCTTAGTAAGTCAGAAACATAGCAAAAACCTCCCTTTCCATTAAAAACTTTGCTGTTCTTTACATCCCTGTTTCCATCAGGAAAAGATGAAACCAATGTTTCCAGGAGAAAATATCAGTTAAGCCAGATTTCTGTGCTTTGTATGATTATATCTTACTATTTTAAACTGGGAAAAGTAAAAATGAAAATGCTTCAAAAATTGAGATTTTTATGGGACAGAAAAGCAGTTGGGTGGGAACCAGCAGAAAAGGCAAAGCATTTCCTTCCACAAAAAATAACCATAATCCATCAAATGCAATAAAACACAACATTGTTTGGTTTAATGGTATTTTTTAGACATATACACACACAAAAGAGCTGTTGGGACAGCTTGGCATTTGGTTTTGATGCCGCATAATACTAAAACTTTAATATACAGGTATTTTACATCTTAGGAGATGTAAGATACTAGATTTATGTCCCATAATGTTTGCATCATACTTTTATTCTGTAAAATGTCAGGAAGAGAGAAAAAGTATCTGAACTAGTAAAACAAATTAAATTAGAATGAGATGAGTAAATTAATCAATAATTCAGACATTTTAACTGACGAAGCCAGTAAGACAATGTGTCACTAAACAACTTTAAAATTTGAGGTGTCAGTGAAATTTTAAGGCAAGCCCACACAGAAGATCTGTCAGTACTATATGAATAATTTTGCTGTTATACAGAGATGTAGAAATCAAGGACAGGGCTTAAGTGAAAAATGGCATCTCCTTAAGAGACAAAAAAAAAAAGGAAGAAAAATAATGATGAACAACTTGAGTGCCTATGTACAAAACAAAATTTCAAAATGTTGCCCACAGGCCTGTTTTCAAGCCAAAAAGAACATGGCTAAGGTGAGACCTTCAGCTTTTCTGAAGTTATTTGCTCATAGGAAGTGTCCATGTCACTAACATGAATCATCCTAGATTGAGCTAGCTACATGAAGGCTAAGGGTTGTTTATACCTTATAATGCTAATTACTCTGATGACAATTCTCCTTTACTCTTCCAGCCCTCATCTGCTATGTTTCATTGCCTAAAAGAATTGCAAGACAGTTTGGGCAGCACTAAGGGCACTAAGAGCAATTCTACTGGGGCAGCAATAGCAAGATGAGTCATATCACCAACAATTCTATATAAAACTTTGGGATCTAACAGGAGAAAGCTTGAAGGAAATATATGACATCTGCCAATCTTAGGCTAACGAAAATGTTTTAATACTTATTTACTGAAATCATCACAACTTTAATAGCAATATCTATAACAAACTCTGTGTAAGAAACATAACTGGGTAACAAGCATTTCAGATATACCACCAAAACACAGAAACAAGGGAAAAAAGGCAGTATTTCAACTGACAAGGCAAGAATTATTGTGGGGGAGGGAGGCAACAACAGAATGTTACAGATAAACACTGTGCAGTGCTACTTTTGGGGCAGCTGAAGCAGCACAGCTATATCAGCACAGCTTTTAACTCACACACTCTGTCACTTTAATCCAGTATAAATCATCCTGCTGCACAAGGAGCAGTCCTGTTCCTCATGCTATGCCAGTGCTAGTATTCAAGCAGCCACCCCATAAGCCCACTACATAAAAACAGCTTTGTCTAAAATTTAACTTGACCCAAAAAGGGTGTTTTCCTGCAGAAAGATCAGGATTCACGCCAGGCTGAAGGGACTGTGTAACCAGTGCTACAGCACAAGGGCCAAGAATTGTGTAAGCCATTAAAACAGAATAGTTTTTTCTCTTGTCAGAAGGGAAGGAAGTCTGCTTCATCAGTATGTTTACTGGACTTGCTCTAAATCTGAAAATTGGTAATTTGGAGGAGCCTTACTTTCATAAAAAGTCAATGCAGTTATTTCAAATTGGTTACAAAATAACTTCACAATTATGAGAAACATCCTGAATTAATGTTTTGTTTTCACAACACATGCTGCAGTGTGCATAACAGTTGGAATGCTAGGCTTTGACTTGGTTTCCTGGTATTTTTCTATTTCTGTCACAAATTCTATATAACGTAAACAATAGTTCCTATTTAACTGTCTGGAAAGAAAATCTTACTATAGCATACTCGATTTTCAAAACACTTAGCAAAGTAGCAGGCTCAAGCCAGGTATGTAAACTATCGAATTTCAAAAATCAGGATTGATTCTAGTTCAGTCATTATTTTCAAAGCAAGACTAGAGCTCAACTTCTGCATATTCCACTGAGGAACAAAAAGTAACCCATTTAAAATGGTTTGGCAACACTACTCTCAAGAATCTGAATGAACAGGAATCCAACTGAAACCAACACAAACAGCACTTTTATTTCCAAGGATATTTTCAAATTCAAAATACTTCAGACTTACCTTGGACACATTGCTGATATAATCCAATTGACAGGTGCTCTCTTTATCTACTTGATTGCAAAGATTCTGTAAAGTGGAGGCATATTCCTTGTCACTTTTTACTCGCATTACCATAAATTTCTTCACCGTTTCCAGCAGTCGCAGTTCCCAGTCTTGAAGTTTTAATAAAGCATCATGAGAATACTTCAGATCACCTCCAAACCCCATTTTTTAAGGCACAATATACCACACAGGGGAAAATACAGGCTCTTCACCACATCTGAAAGGAGAATGAGATTGATAAGACAATTTTCAAAAGAAAAATGTCTAGCGAGACAAAGAGCAACTATTAATGTCTAAACCCTGAAATAACTTAATCATGAGATTAACCACGTACATATACCTCCTCAATATAAGCTGAATGGAGGGTCAGAGCACTGTTTCAAATCAACCTATCTATGACTGGAAGAGATTTCAGGCTTAGAACTGTTCTCCAGTTTCCATTTCTGCAAAAACATATCTTCCTAATTTAAACTACAGTAAAAGGGAAAATATAACAGCATCTAAAACAGATACTAAAGACCAATCTACATATTTAATCAAGTAAGCATAGCTGAGAGTATCTCCAGACAAGAGCTGCCAACTGCACTTTTCCACTCCTGGTGACCAGAAATAGTTTTTTTCCCATGTTTACTATCCTAGCAGCACAGAAAAATCCAAATAAAACACCAGTTCTCGGGCATTGCATCTATGGGAAATGGATAACTAGGTAGAAGCTATTTTTCTCCTAAACCCTGTGTCAGCAGACCATTAAACTTGCAAATTCAACCTCCCAAAAATCAGAAAATACCCCAAACCAGGTTTCCCACACAACTGCAGGTCCCCTAGGTCAGAGTTCTTAAGTTCACACAATTTTCTCCTAAGTCAGTCCAGTCTTCTTGTATCTAAGTGACATAAATTGATAAACAGATATGCTGCCTTATGAAATACCGTAGCACAACTGGAGGTCAAAGACGCTTGTTAAAGGTGGTGATGGAACACCTGCATCTGGTGCTGATAAACATGCAGCCACACCATGGAAGACCTGCAACCACACATATGAGTAATTTCCACACTGCACCTCTACCTCTGGACTGCAGTGCGACCACAACATGTGTACTGCTTATTCACTAATTCCTGCACTCCAGCAATGTCTTGGCTCTTTTGAACAGAGAAGTACTACTTAAATTAGAAGAGTGTTTTGCACTAACATACATTAACAGATTTATCTTCCTAACAGTCCATTGAAGGAAGTAGGACTAATACTCTTTATTTTACACCAAGAACTGAGACATGTAGACTAATATCAACACCATAGCAGCTAATACTGATATGTACAAGGCTTAGACAGACTTTTCAGAGTGCCTAGCATTTTTAGAGCATATTAGGTATTCAGAAAAAATAAAGATGTTATTGGCTTCAGTTATCATACAAAATTTCAGAAGATTTTGCAAATCAGAACCTTGAGCAACATTAAAACGCTCACACTGAACAGGTGTTCTCAAAGATTCTCAAAGAGATTTTGCAACCAGACTACTGGCAAAATTGAATAGTACAGTAAAATCTGAACCCAGAAAAGATTTAATGTGGAACTGGTTTGAGACACAAACATACTTTCTACTCTAATCCCGAAAAGATGAAAATACAATGTGAAATATATTATGGGGGAAAAAAATCTTTTTCAAAATAACATGGGAGAATATTTTAATCTTAGAGGAAAAAACAGAGATGGTATCACATTTTAAAGAAGATGGATGGAGAAGTCATAACCACAAACATGATATGCTAAATTCATACAGAAAAAAAACCTTCAGGAACCGCTTACTCTTCCTACGAAGAGACCTCTTCCACATTTGGTAGACACCCCTGAGGTTTATCTCTTTTTCCACATGTGACCTGACATGCCAGTGAAATCTCAAACTGAATTCTAGCATGTTTTGTAAAAGCAATAAAATCCCAGTAGCATCAAATAAGACAAATGAATTCCAGGTAAGTTATTTTTCTTGTTTTGAAATGTAAGAGACATATAGATATATATTGCTAAAAAAATTACTGGGCATGTAAATTAGTCAAAAAAAATTGGTAAGCTTAAGAGTTAAAATATGTCTCACAGTCAATTCCAAGAAATACTTACTTTCTTTATAGAGTCACTCTCAAAAAACGAACTAATAACTCACAGGAAGTAAATATTCAATATGCATTTATTTACATATTGTGAATGCGCAATCAGATCTCAAACAGTTCTAAATTTAAGGAGACTTACTGAAGACAGTTTACAACTTGTCTCAATCACCACTACAGCAGTGCAGTCAAGATTCCAAACAAAGCAACGCTAACAGTGAGAAACTTCAATGACATTCACATAATCTTTCAATATTGCAACACTCCCCTCAGCAAATAAAGCCAATATTCCAGTGTTATAGTCTTCCCGGAATCCAGCAACAACTCTGAAGAGAGTAGCTTTCATAGCAAATCAACATTTAATTTAAAGAATGTAATCTGTCTGTGACACATGAGAGTGGCCACCCTGGGTCAGATCAAAGGTCCTGCGTCTCTGACACTGAAATCAAATAATCAGGGAAAAACACAGCACATACAAAGCAATATTTTCACAGGATGCTATCCTGCCCTTATAACAGCTGGTGCCTTCTGTTACATATTGCTATCAACTATATCCAAGATGCTAATCTTAAAATAATGATGGATCCACATGCATCAGTTGCAACTTGTGGTTTCACAGTATCAGTAACAAGGCAGGCAACTAACAAACCACAAACCCAGAAAGCACACCTAGCCCCCACTTAAATTCAGACCAGGAATGCACAATGGACACCTGGCTTCACCACAAGGAGGAACATGGAACAAGAACAGCATCATACTCACTCTCGATATGCTGCCAACTCCCTTGATCCTAAATCTGCATAGCCTCCAAATCATATAGAATATAGAATGCCTTATATTTTGCAAACACTATCTGGAAACATTAAGAATATTTGAAAATCAGAAAAGAAAGAGGATTTGGATTCAGGACACAAATTCTCAAATTCAAGGCTTGTGTACTGATTCAAAAGCAATTTTATAAGAGGTTATGAATTTGTTAGACAGTCCATCTCAATTTCTGAATGTGAAGTTTATAGTAGCTATGTTCCACTAAAATAATGAAATAAATCATTCTTAGCTCTCCATCCACACCTTAAATAAAAATTAGAGACTCTCAAACATTTGACATTTTTGTTAATTTAGGATCTATTCTTGGAATGTGCAAGACCATGAAACACAAAACACATGTTCTACCTACCATTTGTTTACACTAAGAACATACTCAGAAGATTATCTATGTATGCATTTGATATAAAACGTATGCAACATGAACTAGCAAAATTCTTGCTTCCACAGAGCTACTGCCAACAATAAATATCCAAAGTGGTAACATAAGTTAGCCTGTTTATTTCAAAACTGATTTTGGAATACTGGTCCACTCAAAACAAAACAGGCAGCTCATTTTCAGGAAGGCTTTTCTGCAAAGCATAACTTAAGCTCACATACCTTAAAAATTTTCCTCAAAAAATGTTCCTTAGTATAGTTTTCCTATGTCAGCAGTTAATTCCTCTGATTTTCACTTTCTGAAATACACTCCTCTTTTCTTTTCTGGAGACTCTGTGAAAGAAAAACATACCAAATTTTTTTATTATTATTTCAGCATTTTAAAAGGCATTGCAAAACTTAAACTTAGGTAAGTTGCTTTGTATTTTCAGATTATTACCATACACCAAATTTCTTTAAAAAAAGAGTTCAAGAAGAAGAATAGCAGACTTCTCAAATGATTGCAAGTAGTAGTATGCTATCACTTCACACACACAATTTGGAGTGAAGAAATAATTTTGTCTCTATACATGTAAGAGAAATTTGGGGGTTTTTTTAAGTTCTCGGAATTTCTTATGACACAGTGTATTGTAGCTGAAAAATTAGATAATTTCATTTATTTCTGAACCTCGCCCTTGATAAAACAAAAACAGATATCCATTAGCAAGAAAACGAAAGAATGGAAGGCCAAAGTTTGTTATATGAAAGACAAATTTAGTAGTGGTATTTTCACAAGAGTGGAAGAAAACAAGTGGCAATATAAGAAAGGGCCCAATCAAGACACACAAATTTCTTATATGGCTCTAATTACTCCAATATCTAGAACAGTAAGTGCTCAGGAAGGATGACTATGGGACTAAAATTTCAAGCTGTAACTCTGGACTGCAATCTAGGTGAAGCAAACTGACAAAGAAGTTCTTTGATGGGTTTATATTAAGAAAAAAGTATTTAAATTATAAAGTAAAATAAGAAACAAGCTTTGCGTACAGCTAACAAGTGCAAGGTATACCATATAATCTACATCTGGACCCATGTTAAATATTCCCTCATAATCTCATGCTAGAATGTCCAACTTTAGATGAGACATTCCATAACAGTTTAGAAATGCCCTTGTAAGAAAAGACACATGAAGCAAAACTGAAAGACAGACACAGTGTGTAAGGGTAAAGAAAAGAGAACTATTTTCAATATTCATTATTTAAAACAAATCACTGATCACAGACATTTATAAAATCTTATGAAGGGACAATCTTAGCTCATATTCAAGAAGGCATTATTTAATATTCCTTTCTGGTTACTTAGTGACATTCTAGAAACAAAGAACTGCCTAGTATAAATACAAAACTTCCATTCCATGACCAAAAAAAGAAAAGACTTAGTGATGCTAACATTCAGTCACTGCAGAGGAACAGCAGCTATGCAAGCAGATACAAAAGGAAGGGAAAAAATGCAGGAGACTATAAGCATTACAAAATTCACCACATTTTTTTAAAAACAGATATAAATTCACTTTTTTCAAATTACAAAGCCCAAGGGAAAGTCTTCACGGGGAAAAAAATTACAATCAGGAGCAAAACATTAGAGTAAATTTGGCTCTAGTCTTCCCATCACAAATGCAAACCAGGTGGAAATACCATAATATTACTGGACAGGAACATAAGTCTTAATCCTTGCTCAAATGGGACTCATGAAAGTAGAACACACACTACCACCAGCACCTGGGCACATTCAGGCTTCAAATTGGAGCCATTTAAAGAGAGGCAAGTTGTATCCTCTGCTCTCTGCACACAGACAAGGAGCAATCCTTTTTTATTTTATTTCTTTTTTAAAGAACTACTCTGTCACATATGATAGAGTGGAGAATTTCATTTTTCAGTACAAAAAAAAAAAAATGCAAACCCAGCTTTTCTTCACAATTCCAACTACTACTAACTCTTTATCTATGTGCATATTTTCATCTGCATACAGGTCATCAGCAGAATTTAAAACTGGTAATACAAGTCCAGTACTGGTCTAATTGGTAGGCATACACCAGCTAGTACACGGAAGCATAATAAAAGCTTTCAAGTGAACTGCACAGCCATCTGTCAGAGAGCAATAAAATGTTACAAAATTCCCACTGCTATTTCTGATCTCAAACACAGTAGAATCTGATAGTTTCAGACAGCTTGCTACAACAATGCAATAATCCACTAGATAATGAAGACATAAAAGACAGAATTATATGAAGATAAGGATAAAAGAGAAAATCTAGATGAGCTGCTGTTTTCTGAAATTACTACCAGGACAGTCAAAGCCAATCCCCCACTAGATCCTCTTCACACTGAGGATATATAACGCATCCTCTCACAACGAAGCGTCAGCAGAGCATTTAAAAATACCAGTACTAACAATTCATCAGTCAGATGCTATTCAGTGAAAGTGTTAAAGTACCAACTATTAAATTGCCAAACTACCAATTCTGAAAAACTTAGGCTTAAGGTGACCTAAGTAAAGAGAAATGGAGAGTGGAAAATTTATCAAATCTCTTCAGAGCTGACAAGGCAATCAGTAGAAGCACAACAAAGACAGTCTGATTTTGATACTGGACAAGGAATCATATTTAAGAATCTGCAGATTAGAATAAATGGTGAAAAAAACCAACACAGCTTTTGTAGAGGAAAATCATGCTTCGCAACTTGAAGAGTCCTTTGAAGGAATCAAGGATCCTGTGGAAAAAGTCATTGGAATTGGTAGTGAACAAAATACTTCTAAGAAGTTTCTGCTGATGTCTCACATAGGAAACTGCTGGAGAACTGAAGACTTGCACAGTAAGATTTAAAAGACAAAGAGTGACAGGCAAGAGGACAAAAGCCTCATCAGAATCTGTACCAGGACTTGGGCTGTTCTTCAGGATGGTCACTTGCCTATCTGTCATTTCAGAAGCATATGTGCTTTATACAAAATTATTATGATCAATCAAAACTGACAGATCATTAAAAAATTTGCAGAACCTCAGGACACTGAGCAACAAGCACAGAAAACAGCAAATGAAGTCACGTGTCAATAAATGTAACATAATACACTGGTACAAGTTATTTAATGCCATTACCAGAAAAAGTTCCAGTAGTTTCTGAACACAGACCTTCAAAAACATTCATTCAGTGCTTTGAAGTGGTCAGGTTAGAAACCATCCAGAATATCAGACTTTTTTTAATGAAGGGAAGAGAGAACATAACACATTCTTACACTGCTGATACATTCATGGTTTTCCATGGTTTTTCAAATTCTCCTACCTCATGAAAAACATAAAGCACCCAAAAAAATATAGATAATATTGATCATGGAGCAACTTCCACACAAAGAAAGTAAAGTGAATTTTTTAGTTCACAAAACAGGCAAGTATGATGGGTGTCAGATCAAAGTACACAGGGAAAAAAAATCATTATAGCACAAAGTGACTTGGTATGTCAGATGCCCTAAGTGTTTCCCAGAAGAACATCAAATGAAATTTTATGAAGTTGCTCTTATATACTTCTTTGCCTATGTCATAATTAAATGACATAATTCAATGCCTAAAGACATTTCTGAGACCATGAAACAAACAGGTACAAATATTATTATAAAAATTCATTAAAAAAGCAGACCTTTAGAACAGCAAAAGTTCCACCACAAGATGTCTCTAAACTGCAAAAGCAGAACAGGAACTACTACTCTATATTTGTGCCAATAGACTCTCCTTATCTGACAGGAGCAAGTACTGAGCTATGTGGATTTCCCTTGGTTGGGTACAAACATCCTCAAACAATGACCTCTCACTCTCTTACCCCTGCAGCTGTATGAAGACCACACTTTACCTTAGCAGCTCTGGGAGCCGAGATCTTATTAAAAATACATGCAAATAAGGAGCAGTGAGTTCCACTAAAGAATAGGATTTACACTCATCAGCTGGGCAAAAAAAAAAAAACAACAACCAATAGAAAACAGCTCTCAGATCCTCTGACTAGAATCACAAGGCACGCTTCCTTTTTGGGATACATAAAGTTTTCATTTACCTGTTGGAATTCTCTCCACATGTGCAAACAGTAGTAACAGATGTGAGGGAAGTAAGTCACTAAGAATCCTGTGTAAGGCTTATATAAAGACAACATCTAACTCTTTCACCTTCCACCAAAGAACCACATATCTTGTCAGACTACCTGATTTAGTATTCCTCTGCCGTTGGCATTAGGAAAAACTTTCCCATGACCAAATCTCACCTTCCCTTCCTCATAACTGAGGTACAGAGAGAGGACACTAGCCATTTCTCTGCAACCTGAATATGCTAATTTTTTGACTAAGCCATTCTAATTATTTCAATCTTTCAATATTTTCTAGACCACTGCTATCTTTCAATTGGTCCCAATCTCAGAGTTCATAAGCTAAAACAGTGGGATACTGTAGAACTCTGAGAAGAGCAGAGAGATTCCTTCAAATTACTTTTGAGCTCCTTACCCAAGTGCTTTAACCCAATAACATGACAGTGTATCCTTCTTTGTTTAGTAAGCAAAAATTCCAGGTCCTTTTCCAAAGACATGCACCTTTCCCTGTTTCCTCCCCCATCTCATATCCATGCAATCCAGCCTACAGACAGTGAGTTTTCATGCTCACTGACACCTGTTTTGTTCCAGATGACATCTCCCATTTGCCAAGATTATTCTAAATAGTAATCTCATTCTCCGCCACACCTGCAGCTCTTTGCTTCTTCCCTGGTAAGTTTCTCAGCACGTTCTTTATCATCTCAGGGCTCTTGTAAAACAAATATGTGAAGGGAAATGCTGACAACTGGCAGTGAACCATGCAGCAAGTGATTTTTAGGTGCAGTTACTCAACTAGTTTTGCTTCCACCCTCACAAACATAGGTAAGGAGCAAGACTGAATCTCACCAGACATAAGAGTACAAGAAGGTGAAGGCAGACACAGTGCCATAGGTTTACTTGTTCTAAAAATCCAAGCAGAAATTTTCCTTTACCCTGTCCTGCTGTAAAAGAAGGTGTTGAACGAGGGAGGGGGAAGGGGTAATTGACTATACAAAAGAACTAGCTAGCCAACCTGCATTCCAGGCTGATATCTTTCTCTAAGGCTGGGGTGTGGGGGGAAGGAGTTTTTCTCCCCTCCTCTCCCTTTGGAAAGAGGCACTTAACTTTCTGCCTTAACAGGGGCAAGGTGTGTGGTGGAAAAGTTCTGAGGCCATTTTGCTCTCGACCTGGTCATCTGGCTGTTCTCCGGCCCTAGCTTGCCTACGGTCTGCTCTGTCGCCAGCCGGACCTGCTCAG